TTTTTTTTTTTTTTTTTTTTTTTTTGAGACACAGCCTCACTCTGTCTCCACTCAGTGGCATCATCATAGCTCACTACTGCCTCAAACTCCTGGGCTCAAGCAATCCTCCTGCCTCAGCCTCCCATGTAGCTGGGACGACAGGTGTGCACCACCACGCCTGGCTAAGTTTTCTATTTTTGTGGAGACGGGGTCTCACTCTTGCTTAGGCTGGTCCCAAACTCTTGTCCTCAAGCGATCCTCCCACTTTGGCCTCTCAAAGTGCTAGGATTACAGGCATGAGCCACTGTGCCCTTCTATCCATCCTCTGTTTCTTAAAGAGGTGGAGAGAAAGAAGAAGGCACAACTGAGAGTCATCATTTCTTTGAACATAAGGAAGATGGATGGCCACAGCAATTTAATGGAGAAGTGAAGTCTCAGATTTTCATTAACCTTTTCCAGTGAGGTGAGCAGACCACCGATGTCAGCACTCTTGATTCTAAATATTATCTTTTATTGTCCCATAAATGTAGTTATACTTTTCAGACTGATTGTTCCAATTTAGAGTTTAGATAATATGGTCTCCTCAGTTAATGTGGATCTTACCCTGGATTACATAGCTACCTCTCTGTTCTACTCTTCCTTTACTGTTGGTAGAATATCATGATGCAGCTAATGATACAAAAAGAAAAGAAAAGGAAAGGAAAGGAAAGCAAAGCAAAGCAAAGAAAATGTCTCTCATGTCCCTTCCCAATGTTCAACTGGAGCAAATAAGCTGCATACTTTGGTTCTTTCCTTTGTGTTTTTGAAATAGTATGGAAAAATAGTAGGGCCTGAGGTATTGGCTTCCTATTAGCAAAGCTCTAAGGAAAATTATCTGGATTCTTAGATTACAGTTCTAAGACTACAATCTAAATTATGATTTTAATCCAATATGCTAAAGATTTGTTGAATACCTATAAGCAGTCAGGCAAGAAACAGCAGCAATTTCTCTGCTTATAATCTTCCTGAATTTTGTTTTCATGTGATTTTTTTTTAAAAAACTGTATCTTAATTGTATCTATTGTATCTTAACCTTTCATAGTTTTAAATTCCATATCTCAAAGTAGAATATTGCCTTCCCTCCTTTGAGCTATGCGTTTTCAGATATGAGCTATCATATGTGAAAGTGCTTTGCATATAATTGGCATTTGAAAAATGCATGTTGAATCTAAATCTGAAAGAAAAGTGTCCGTTACCCATCCCCTCAGATGGGTCCACCTCACTCCACGAGTTCCCAGTAAAAAACAGAGAGTACCCAGCAACTTGTCCCAATCTGGTCTCCGCCTCTAAGATTCATCAGCCCCGCTCCCTGAAGTGCAAAGAATTCTGAGGCAGTAGGCAGTTATGATGTTCACAAAATCCATTCTAAATCTGCCAATTGCACAAGGAGTTGCTGTTAAACTTGAATGAAAACGAATCATATCTGTGTATTGCTGGTAATAACATGTACTAAGTGTGTCTGAAGAGTGGACTCCTATTCGGATTAACAATATAGTGAGCAGCCCTAGAAGCAGTGTTCTTACATGTATCTAGCAGCACCGTGCAGTGGAGACCACTTAGACCTGGGTGCAGAAGATGTGGGTAAAGTTTGTAGCTCTGGCACTCATTAGCTGCACAACTCAGAATAAGTCATTTTACATAACAGAACCTTAATTTCCACAGAAAATATAGATATAAATTACCCCCATAGATATTGTGTGGATCGTATGGAATATATGTATATGAAAGTACTTTGTCAACTGCATAAATAGTGTTGATTAGAATTACAATAATAATAATCCTCTTTGTGTAAATCCTGTTAGGATGATATAATTCCAATTTGTAGCTTTCTGTGTCCCCCTTGCTGATTGCATGGCATTTCAAACATTACTGAGCTGTTCTAAAAGCTAATGCTAGAATGCCATTGACTTCATTTTTCAACCATGAAAAGAATCTTCAACATGGCCTAACTCAACAAAACTGTCCAGAAGAATGTTCTAATGGGTACAAAGAGAGGCATGAAGATGAGATTCTTTATTTCCCCTCCAGAGACATTCTCCAAATGTCTAGGGCACCAGTAAAGTATATAAAAGTCACTGTAAAAACTTAATTCCAAACATATTCACGTGGTTGGTTATTTTATGGAATCAACTAAAGAAAAAGTCATAGTGGAAAGAGCAATGGATTTGGAATCAGAAGACCTAAGTTCAGATCCTAGCATGACTAGAGTTGCCAGATATGGCAAATAAAATCACAGGACACCCAGTGAAGTTTGAATTATTTCTAATTGCCTATGCATAGGTACACTGAGATAATACAAAAATATTGCATGGGACATACTTACACTAAAAATATTTGTTGTTTACCTGAAATAAATTATAAGTGTGTAAATTACATGCCTCTTTCTTTAATTATGTTTTCTTGATAATTTAGCTCTTCTTAACAGTTCCTATTTTGCAGAATTTGCTTGTAAGATTTCTTGCAGTTACAGTTTATGTTCCAATTATGAGATAACACAACTTCTACAGGAGTCACATCCAACTTATTTCCCTTTTTTATGACATTGAACAATCACCAATGAGAACAGGTAGTGGTGTAAAATTAACAACTCTGAGAACCACTCTTTGAAATTAATTTGTTGAAGCATATGAGACCATCTTTTGTGGCATAAACTGCTTTTCCATTCTTCAGAAGTACATTTTATCTCTTGATCAATAATGTTTAAAATTTTTTAGAAAAAACATTGTCACCAATTTTGATTCTCCTCTTCTTCAGCATTACATGTGATAATTTCACTTTTTCCCATGCTGGATAAGTATTTAGGAATATCCATGTAAAAAAAATCAAATTCTTTGAGGGATGAAATCCATTTGAAAAAATAGTCATGGCAAGTGCCATAATAATTGTTCACATTTAGCTGGATTCCTTTTCCTATTCATA